TCCTTTTATATTCTAATCTTTCCATTTAAGTTTAATTGAGATTTGTAATACGTCAATCACAATGGACACAATAGACACAATAGACAATGCAATGGATACAATAGAAAACTGTCCATTGTCAATTGTTATATCAATGGATATGTCCATTGCCAACACTGCATCTTATAAAGTATATTCATATTCCGTAAGTGTTTCTATCATATTTCATCTTAATCAAATATAGAATAAATATTGGGCATGGTAATATCCATGCGAGTATTACATGTAAAAAAGTTCAATTTGCACCTATTTATTAGTACTTTGTTAAGTTTTTGCGAAGTGCCAGTGTTATGCCATTCTTACAATCCTGCCTTTCGTGATTGCTGAGAATGAGGCACGAAGTGCTGAATTAGTTCAGGCTATATTGCTTTCATACCTTTTTTTTGTGCATCTTCCTGAGTCTTTTTGTCTTTCTGATCTTTTTCCTGCCTATTGGTGATAGTATCCAAAAGCATAATTTCTTATTTATTTCTATATAATTTTACCTTTGGATACTACCAAATCTATACTCTTATTTTCGCCTGAGCCTTTCTAGAATTCTTTCTCGTATAGTTGCTACTTTAGGGTACCTTATACTTGATTACTTTGAGCTATTACTATATCGATCTTTCATACCCTTTTTTCGTGTATTCTCCTGAACCTTTCTGCCTTTCTGACCTTTTTCCTACCTATTGGCGGTAGTACCCAAAAGCATAATTTCTTATTTTATTTCTATATAATTCTACCTTTGGGTACTACCGTAAATTTATACCCTAGTTTTCGCTTATCTCTGATTACTTTGGGTTATTATATTGATTACTTTTGGGTACTACTACATCGACTAATTTTGGATACTACCACATTGACTACTTTTGGGTACTACTACATCGACTACTTTTGGATACTACCACATTGACTACTTTTGGGTACTACTACATCGACTAATTTTGGGTACTATCACATTGACTACTTTTGGGTACTACCACATTGACTACTTTTGGGTACTACTACATCGACTACTTTAGATACTACTACTGACCCAGTATTTTACTAACAAGTATATTCGCTCAAAATTTTTATTTTGAAAATTTGGGAAATATACATGTAATTTTATACTTAGTATTTCCATATATTATATTATGCTACTTGCGTAAAAAATACTGGGCTGAGCCCTAAAACAATAAATGAAGCAACCAGGCTTTTTTCTGATTTAGCGGACCTTAACTATGAGCCTGGCTATAATAATCATATATATTTTCAATATTTGTCTAATAATAAAAATGATATCTCTTTTCTAGGTACCTATTATCCTAAAGAGATTTATTCAAAATATATTATTTGAGTATCTGGAAAAGGTTTTACAGTAGTCAATCATCCATTTGAAGTTTATAGAATCCCTGATGCTTACGAATGTATTGATGGGAATCTGCCTCTTCGCCTGGTTCTAGATATTGATGCGAGGCAAAAGCCAGATCTAATGAACCCTGAGCTCCCTTTTTTAGATAAATATAAAATTACTTGCGAAGATTTATTATCCAGAATCTTAATTGCTTGTGTTGATATTTTATATTCTAATTTAAACCATCTTGCAATATTAGATAGTTTTGCCTTAGCCAGTTCATCTAATACTAATAAATGCAGTTGGCATATTGTATATAAATATACATGATTCGTTGACTACAGAGACCTTAGAGAATTTGTGAAAAAAATTGCTGATAGAATTGGAAAACCATACTCTAAATTTATTGACCTTGGGCTTTATAAATCACGTTTTAGTCTTCAGTTTCTTGGATCGTCAAAGAAAGATAAAGTTAAAAGACCTGCAGTTTCTTCAGTTAAACAAGGATACCGCAAGCTAGAAGATTATTTAGTTCAATCTAATTCTGATTATTCTGAAATCTGATCACAGACCTTTTCTCCTGAAAAGCCAGAAAAGGATGAATTCTAACCTATCGAAGATGAAACTGCTTTAAGCAAGAGGCTAGTCAAGTTACTGCAAAATATGAATGGCTTGAGATTGGCGACATTAGAAAAGGATTTGTCAACTTCTAAGCAAAGTCATATAAAGCATATCCTATTTGCGGAATCAAATATGAAAGAGATCAATTATATGGTTTTCTTCGAAGTAATGGCTATTTTGTACTTAAATGCTATCGGCAAAATTAATATAAGGCAGATCATAAAGGACTAGCATTTGAAGAGGCATCAGGTATAATCAAGTCAAAAGAAAGAGCTAAATAGGGATTGAATGACAGGTTAATTAATGTTGTAAAAAATCCACGTTTGCTCTTTGAATTGTCTGAAAAAAATATTAATGTAAAAGAGATGGAAGAGACTCCAGAAGCTTATCCAGACTTCTTAAGTTCTGTATGTAGTACAACTCTTATCTATTCATCCGTAGGTATTGGTAAAACAAAAGCTTTAAGAGGAATTCTCAACTCTTTAGCTGGAAATAGAGAAAATTTGCTTTGCTTTATCTGGGTTTCATATCGCAAAACTCTTACTAATGAGACTAAAGCTAAAATTAAAATATTACAGAATTTAGGACTTCACGTATGCCAATATCAAGAAGTTGAGGGTAGTTTAGCTATAAGTAATTGGGATATTATTATTATCCAGATTGAAAGTACACATCGTATTGAGCTTCATGGAAGGCGTCTATATGTAGTTATTTTAGATGAAGTCAATGCGGTTATACGCCAAATGTCTAGTGGTATTCATGCGCGAGAATCTGAAAATGCTATGCAAGATTTGCTAAAGTCAGCCATTCATGTTGTGGCTATGGATGCTTTTGCGAATGACTCCACTATAGCTTTCTTAAAACAATATCGAGGTAATGATATATGAATTTTCGATAATAAATATAAACCACGTATAGGTGAAACTGTTAAGATTCTTTATGATCTGGACAAAGGTTCAGAGGCTATGAGAAGAGGTCTTAAGATGCTCCGAGAAGGCAAGCGTGTTGCTTTTGCAATGACATCATGTAAAAAAGCTCGAGCTTTAGCAAACCAAGCTTCCGCATTGCAAAAACTGGATGGTTCACCTATTTTAACTCGTGTTTATTTTGGCCAAATGGATGGAATGCAACGATAAGAGGATTTTACTAATATTAATGCTACCTGGAGTTCTCTTAACTGCGTGATTTACATAAGTACTGTAGAAGCTGGCATCTCCTTTGAAATTCCTAATCATTTTAACGCTATTATAGGAATTAGCAATATTAAAATAGGAGTACATGTCGAAGCTTTTGCACAGATGCTTTATCGAATTTGGGATTGTCCACAACGCATAATTTTTTTATATAATAGTCAGAAGTCCTTTGAAATATTTCAAGAGCCAAATCGTAGTCTTATTTGTGCTGAACTTTCTGCTTTAAAACCTATTGATTTACCAACAGCAGTAAAAGGGCATTGGGAATGGAATAAAATTGCTAATTGTTATGCTCTTGATATATCTCCAGCGGTCGAAACATATATTGAGGCTGAATACCAGAAACGCTTATTAGCAAAGTACTTTTCTGAAATTCTTTGTGGTCTTGTTTTTAGTACGAGAGCTTCACTTGAAATTATTTCTACAGAAGGTACTATAGCTGATAGGAAAATGGTTTCTAACATTATTAAGGCAGTTGAAGAAAATATCAAAGATTCCGATGCAGAATTAATAGTCAACGCACCTGATATCACCCAGATGATGCTGAAGTTCTTAAACAAATTCCTACTCGCTTGTTCACTGATAATAGGATATTGCAACGACTCTATTTATGAAGAATATACGCTTCAGGAGATATTGGAGGTAAGGATAATAATTGGGACTGGAACATGGATGATGCCAAATGGATTAATCTATGCAATATCAGTTTTCTAAAAAAATTTAATAATCCTGAACCTTTATGACACTTTAGAAGACTGGTATATTTCTGAAAACAAGGTTCAGATTCAATAAAAGTTTTAGAAAGGTTAAAAACTAAAGAAACTATACAGTGGTAGGAATTGCATAATTCCTCAGATCTATCTTCAGTTGATTTACGAAAGGCATATTTGTTTAAACAGTGGAAGGTGATACAGGAACTTTTTCAAATACTAGGTTTTACTGGCATTGATGATATACATACTCTTTCAGATAATATTATTTCAAAAGCATTTACTCAATCATGTGAAAGATTTATGGAAATCTGAAATCAATCTTTATTACTCTTTAGATTTAAATCTCACGCAAAAGAAACATCAGATCTTAAATCAGCTATATAAGCAATTAATGCAATCGCTGGTAATTAGTGCGAATATACTGTTAAAAAGTGATAAAAAAAGAATAGGGCTTAAAGGACAACAAGTTTGGCAATATTCATATCAAATTAATCGCCGGCCATATAATAGTACTAGTTTTGAAAATAAAGGCGCTCCAGAGCTCCCACCATACAGGCTGAAAACAGATAATGATATTCAAGAATTCTTTGACTCTATAAGATAGGAAAAATAATACTTTGGTCAGATTATTATTCAGCTAGGTGTCTCGATCATGTCTGATTCCATTTTAACTTTTTTACCTTCACGTCAGGCATGGTCATAAATTCCACCATGTGTGCTACAGATTCTGGTCTTGGAATAAGTTCGCTCATTACAGATAGGGTATATTGTTTTATCTCTCTTGATGTATTGGCAGATAAAACGACCCATATGAGGTAATTTTGATATTAATAATCTTAAAACTTCATCTTCACATTTATTATAGATATTCAAAATTCCTTTGCTTTAGCGGGTCAGCTTAGTAATTATGTCTTCGGCCAAAGTTACAAAACCTACTTACTCTTTTTGCGACTCTTTAGTCAGTTTTTCTTATACATCATACGAAAGCCAGTCTAAGAATGGATTGGCCTATTACAGGATGCGCACATTTTATTTAGTGAAGACTTATAGTGTCTGACACACCTGCTCTCGTGAAAGTATCTTTTCCTGCAGATAGACCCATCATTTTTCTTATTTAAGCAAGGCCAAGTTGGGTAATTCTCGTCTTCTGAATTAGATATGTATTCACCAAAGAGTCCAAAGGGCATAGTACTTCTTTCTGGAAAAGTTTTTAAGATTAATATACATTAAACTTATCTTCATTTTTATTATAGATATTCAAAAATATATTATGCCAGTCTGCGAAATGCCTTAATAGCGGAGTATAAGCTATATCATCTATATCATCTTTATTTTTTTCTCGTGCCTCTCTAGCCAGTTTTTCTTATAAACAGGTTTGGCATGATCCATACAAAAGTCAGTCTAGGAATATGTCAGCTTATTACAGAATACACACCTTTTTTTGGGTGGTGACTTATAATATCTGACACATCCAGCTTCGCGTAAGCATCTTTTCCTGCAGATAGACCCATCTTTTTTTAGATTCCTCTGAATCAGCTGTATTTTTACCAAGATTCATAGTACTTCTTTTTGGGAAAGTTATTAAGATTAATATACAGAGGGTGGACAAAAGTTTCTGGACATCTTTATAAATGCGATTTAACAAATTTTTATCATATAATTGTGATACTATACTGCGGTTATGTGACTGTCTATTGTTTAATTACATAATCAAAATAAAAAAATTTGTGTTATTTTTGTTGTTTTGACTTAATTCACTTAATCTCTACCAAATCGAAAAATAATGGAACAAAATAAAGAATTAACCAAAGAACAACACGGAGTCATATTTTACTTGACCAGCTCAATGTCCTGATCTTAACCCAATTGAAAATTTATGGGCTGATATTAAAAAAAATATTTGTGTATATAAAAAACTACCATCGAATCTTGCTGACCTCAACTGCTATGTTATAAAGGCATGGCGAGAAATTCCAATGCATACTATTGAAAATTTAGTAGATAGAATGCTACAGCAAATTCAGGCTGTGATTACGGCAAAAGGAGGCCCAACTAAGTACTAAAGTTTAATATGAAATATATGCCTTAACCAGCTCTAAATAAAATAATATTAGAATTTTTACTATTAATGCTAAAGAATTATAAGTTTTTTATTTGGTGAAAAAGTGTCCGGAAACTTTTGTCCACCCTCTGTAGATTTAATCTCTAACGTATACTGTAAGTGTAAATAAAAAACTGTTTCCAGAATATTTAATATGAAAAGTTTCAAAATGTGATTCGTGTAACAAATGCCAGGTCAACGGTAATAGATAGCCTTTTTATTATTGGTAGTATTATTGAATATTCTCTCATAAAATCGATAAAATGTTATTGCTACTCACTATAATCTTCAAGTTGAAACCTTTATAAATGGATAGGTAAAAGAAATCACCTTGAAATTTTTTGTCTATATTTAGTGAATATCTAATGACTTAATTAAGGTAAAGTTATCATCATTGTTTTTAACAATTATTTATATATCATATACAGGAATACAGGAATTGAGCAATATTAAGATAAATTGGTTACTATATTTACTAAATTTTTTTTTCGGAAAATAAAAACTGAACTGAGCGTACTTTATTTATACATGTAAGAATTAACATGTGAATTCTAAAATCTTATTCTATAAAAGAACTACTTTGTTTGATTATAACGTCTCACAAAAATTTAAATATGTAGATAACAAAAATTTTTTTCCCATCCTAAAAAGCAAGAATGAATTTATCGTGGATAATAATCCTTTTTTAAGAAGATCCTTTTTCGTGCCACACTTCAACATAACAGATAGATATCGATTCATTTTTGTACAATCAGCTAACATTGTAACACGGTAACAATTTTACACAAATCTGCGAGTTGTAATCAATAAGGAAGGTAGTAAAAAATTTTTTTTTTTCTTGTAATCCCCAAATATTGGCCGTGGAAAAATTTACGTTTGTTAGTCGGCGTTGATGGCGCAATTACTTTCTTTTGCATTCGATTATCAAAAATCTGTTCCGTTATCACGAAATATCAGCAAATCAATTTTTTCTTTTTTCATTTAACTACTAAAGCTTATCTTTTTATCGTTATATCGTTTTAAGATAAGCAATTTTTTTTTAATTTATTCGGTTTAATAGTTCATTTACGCATTTTGTTAATCGTACGTATTGATATATATATTAATATATTATCAATAAATTACAAAAAAATTTCTCACGCGACCAATCACGATATGTATGGGAAACTCCGTTTTTTCCACCGATACGTGCTATGTAACACGTAAATTGAAACTCAAATCGTAGTTTATGCTCACACAGACCGCGTAAGATATCAAACATTGTGTTTCTTTGTTAAAGTATTATTTGGTAACAAAAAAAAAAATTTTTCATTCACAAAATTAATAAATAAATGGACCTTTTTTTTTTTTTTTTTTTTTTTTTTGCATTATTGTCATCGCCAATCTCTTACGGTTTTATTCTTTCTTCCTTTAAAATTCAAAAAAAAATACAAATAAAAATAAAAAAAAAATTTGAACCGAAATAATTAGGAAATTACCTTTTCACACTAGTCACTATTCATTAGACCTTATGGTAATCAAATTGAAAGAACGTTTCGCCAATGCGGGTTTCCAGTTGACGTAATATTCTTTATTTATAAAAACTAAAATTTTTAGGCATCTTTAATTGAATCCTCCACCAACGAGTTCTCACCAAATATGGGCAAACCACAAGGAAATTACACAGTTGACAATCATTTCTTCTCAACTTCCCTTGTGCCCAGTAAAATGAGACAAAAATTATATTACCTACAATCAATTTTAAATGCATGCGCCTTAAACGAGAACGTCATGACCATATTAGAAGGAGAAGGTACTGTAATTGTAAAAAGGTTTTTGATTGTAAATTTTTCTTAACGTCGGCTCACCCATATAAATAAATACGCGTTCAAACTTTATTAGTTGAACGAATGTTCGCGAGTCTTGATGAACTTGAAAGAGTTATGCATAAACTTGATGGCCAAATGAATGAGGTCGATGAAATAAATTATGGAGATGAAAAGATTGATGATGAACTTTTGATGATTTATCAAAACGTTGTTCGTTTAATAAAAGGAATGGAAGAAAATATGGACCTATTGGAAAAATTAATTCATAATTGCGCAGAAAAACATAAGTTTTATTAATATTAATATTATATATATATATTTTTTTTTATTATTTTATTTAAATCTTTACTCTATTTATCACCAAAAACATTTGCATACACCATATCCAAGAAATCTAAGTTTTAAAGAATTCCTATCATCATTACTATTATTATTAATTTTTATAATATATCATGCGAAGATGTAAATATGTTCGCCGATTGAGCTACCCACATCCTTTATTTAAAAAAATTTCTCTTAGAATTTTAAGTTATTTTTTTTTTTTTTGTCGGTTGTAAAACGTACCTTTCCTATATGTATTTCTTTTCCTTTACGTAGTTTTTGTTATTAAATAGACGTACAATAACTTTATATGTAACAAATATGAATAAATTAAAAGATATCTACTTTATTTCAATTAAGATTGCTAATAGCAAAAGGTATAACTACCCCTCCCTCTTTCGCTGAAAAAAAAAAAGAAAAAATACTCAATCCTCAAAATAAATTGGTTACATCGGAACATTTACTTTATTTGTTTTGCATATTTGTTATGATGATCGAAATCACTTTTTTTGTAATATAAATTTTTTCTGATTGTCATGAAACTTTATTGATATTTAAAAAATGGTTATTTGTATGTTGCAAGTTAAAATTTTCAAGAAAATCCATTCTATCGAATCCAAAAATCGTCTTTCAATGTGGATTAAAGATAATCCGAAATTTTAACTTCATTTACGGGACGGGTTATTTTTTTTTTATTGGAACTTTGATCAATTACATATATAGAAATATTGTAGTTCCTTTTTTATAAACCATTTTCGTCATTAGTTGTTGTTTGATAAATTTTTAATTAGTACAAATTCAAAACAATAATGCAAAATTATTTGCATTGAAACATCTATTATTTGAAGAAATTATGGTAAATAATTTTCGAGTATTTATGTTTGACGAAAACTTTTATCTCCGATGATTAAACTTATTGACCCGAAAGATTAATAACAAATAAATTATTTTGGTTAATGTAACTTGAAAATTTTTTGTTATTCAGAATTTAGAAAAATATGATGTTTCATCATGTTTTGTCCTAAATTTAAAATTTTCGTGTTTATTAAAAAATTTAACATCAGCCAATGGCTAATTTGCCACGTTTAAATTTAGACATATGCTTGTCACATGCCCATGATTTCTTTATTTTGGTTCTATATCCACCGGAATTTGAAATTTGTTACGTTAATTTAAGAAACTACCAAAACTCGTAGTAATCCATATGTAATTTGGGATACCATATTTGTTAAAATAATATAATTGACGTAGTACGAAGACAATAATATTTTTTCATTGTTGAAGGAAAAAGGTTTTTGTTAGATAACCATCATTCAGACTATATGGAAAAGGTACTAAACCTGAATACTATTTTTGAACATAAAGATATGCCTTTCGAGAAAATTATTGGTAATCTTCAAGGTCTTTTGAGATGCCATGTCCTCTTCCAATGGTCTTGATCTTCGTTCAAAAAATATCAATTTAGTGACAGATTTGAAGTATGGAGAATTATAAAATTTATCACATTTAACAAACTTTTTATTAATTTTTTATATTTGATATTGCATACTTGTAATTTTTAAAGTAAATTTTTTTTAAGTCCTGAACAAGGCGATGCTTTCGTATTGTTTTGAAAATTGTGAAATGGTTCTTATAGTAACAATCATAACAAATTTTATTATTCTTTTATGTACATTTATATTTGTAGCAAAAATATTTGCCTATAATAAATACTTTTCTATTTAGATTTAACCGGTTCTAAAAGTACCGTATTTCGCGGTCTAAAATACCACCTGTAAATTAAATTTTTGGCTAATGCGGACATTTCGATGGTGCATATCAGAAGCATAAAATATTTACTGTGTTGTAACGTATATTGTTTATTTATTATAAAAATGTCTAATAAAAATTTTTTTTATAAATTTTTTGAACCGTTAAAACTAATAACTAAATTCTGCAACAACTACTGTTTAATTGAACTTGGTTCAAGTGAATTCCATGCAACTCACACCCATTCAACAAGTAGTAAGTATGATGGTCGTTTAATTCGTCCTGAGGGAGTTAATTCATGGATTGTTTCTACCATCAAACGATTATAAAGTGCGCGAATCCTTGTTTAAAACTCTTATTAATACTTACATCTAATGGTTGAACTTTGGGTGTTAATCCACCAGGAATTACGGCTAAGTTTGTATTATTTATAGAAAACTGAAGTTTAACCGGATCTACTATATGTGCTCTAAATGAGTCAAGAATTAAAAGAGAATTTGGATTATCAAAAAGTGCTCTTTTAGTCCAGACATTTTCGATCCACCACAGCTTTTCGGTTTCGTTAACCCAACCTTTTGGATTTGCTCGAACAAAATGGTGGCAATTTTGTTCCATCAGCCATACATCCAAGAATAACAGTAAAATTATTTTTTCATAGCCTGTAGTACGAATAGCAATGGTTCGAGTTCCACGTTTTTCAATTGTTGATGGGTTTGGAAAATCAAATTTAAGAGGAGTCTCATCCATATTTCCAATTAAAAATATTGAATACGTAGTTCTAAAACATAATTAATAAAGTTTTGCTTTAATTTTTAATTTTCAGGTAATTTTTGCGAAACAGTTGTTTGATGACGAATTGATAAATTATGATGATCTAAAAAAACCATCAAGCCAATTATTTGAGAATTTAAATGATTAAATATTTGGAAGGTGTTGAAAATTTGTATTTTGTGAAAGTGAAACTGCTTTTATAGTTATCAATGCTTGAGTAACAGGATTTTGTAATTGATGTTGCTCTGTAATCCAATTAAACAAAGTATTTTCAATTTTCAGATAGTAAGGCAATTTTCCATTATGTAATTTGGTAGTTTTTGGTGAAGCTTTGATTAGTTTATCTTTTTTACCTATCCATTCACGTAGTTATTTTGGTTGAATATTAATTTTTCTACAATATTCTTTAATGGCAATTTTATGTTTCTCTTAATTAGCAATAATTTCTAATTTTTCTTTGGCATTCCACTTTCTTTTCAATTTTTTTGTTATACGAGTTTTTAAAGAACTTCTATTACTTTTTATGACCATTTCAAATAATCATGCATTTTTTTATTAAAAAAAAATTCAAATATTTATATAAAACATCATTTGTATATTTCGCAAACAATAACTAAAATTATTAAAGACACACCCTAAAGAATTTTTATAATTTAAAAAAAAATTATTGTCTTCTACATTATTACAGTTAATGAAATACAAAAGAAAATATTTTGTGGTAAAGTAACAAAAAGTTAGAAGTTTTTGTATTTTTCTTAAAAATATTTTTAACTGCTTTGTAATTATTATTATGTTAAATTTTTTATTGTTACATGTACCATCAAAATATTTGCATTAGCCAAAAATTTAATTTACAGGGGGTATTTTAGACTGCAAAATACAGTTACTAATAAATTTGTCATTATATTTTATTTTCTAAAGCATCAATGATAAACTTATTCCCTATCTTTTAATTATTACTTAAAATCGTTTAACATTCCTTTTTTAATTATTTGTTTCTTATTAGGAATTAATGTAACACTTTTATTTAAATATTTAAATATTATACTGTATATATACACCCTGAAAAAAATGACTAGAAATCCAAAAATCAGAATAATTATTGAAATAGTTATATATTAAGAAAAAAATTTTTATTAATAATTTTTTTTTTAGAGATGCGTTTACATTAATGACAGATGGAATAAAGCTGAAATGACAAGGGCCGGCTATCTAAGATCTCGCCGCTGATTAAGAGTAAATATAATCTTATTATATACATCTACTAGAGAGGTTTACTATTTTAGTTATAGTCTACTTCATCTAGATTTGACTCTAGGATCTGATTAACTAAATCCCCTTTTGGATTTTCATTTATCAAATTTGAATAAAAGACTCACTTTAGCCATAGTGATTGATAGTTACTATTTTTACCAATCTAATTTATAAGGTTTACCCTATTGATAACTTCTGAGACTATGAGATCAAGTTCTTTATATAGATGGTAACTTAATACCTATAGCATTGATACTATATGAAGTCAATTTTGAGCCTTTTCAAATTGACTTTTTTTGACTTTTTCTCTTATTGTTGTAACAATAAAATAATATAAAAAAAAAAGTCAAAATTTAAATGTTTGAATAGGCTCTTTACTGCATTATAAAAATTGATGAATAATCAATAATATTAATATCATTAGCATTTTTAACTTAATCAACATTTTTATTTTATTTATTTTATTTTTATATTTTATTATTATTATTTATTATATTATTATCATTATTAAATTATAAATTATCTTTTATATTTATTTTAGCATTATAAAATAGTTTAATATTAGATAGTAATTTTTTATAATTGTATTTTTATATAAATAGGATAGAAATTTATCCTTGTAAAAAGGGCAGAGATAACAGTGATAACTCAATAGTTTGAGTTTAAAACTTAGAATCTAAGGTTAAGGATTGCTAAGTATACGAATCTTTACAATAAAAGAATTTCTTTCTAAACTACACATATTAAAAATCCTTCAACATATCAATTGTGTTTATTATTATTATAAAGTATTAAAGTTATTTTACTCATCTAAAGTATAAATCTAAAGTTGATTATAATAGGACTTATTTTACAGTAACTTAGTAATTTTTCATATGTTACTCTCTGTTATTAAGTTATTATTACCTTAAGTTCAATAGGCTAAATGTAGGGTTAATAGTATCAAATATATTCAAGAATCGAATCTAGCCTTTACCCCTAATGATGACATGATTTGACCTAGAATTGTGATAAAATTTTTTATTAATAAAATTAGCTTTAGTATAATAAGTAAACTTATACTCTATAATGAATAATATATATTTATTTTTTATATAAATTTTTGGCTATCTCTTAAATTGTAAAGCAGGCAAATTTACCTGCGAACATAAAAAATAAGTATTAATTTTTTAATAAAAAATAAAATATTAATGTTAATAATATAATTATTATATAAAAAATATAGTTTAATAT